CACATATCAATGATTATTTTTTTTTGTGCTTGAATTTTTTTTCTTTCGATCCAACAAACACCAATAATAATTGGAATATGTATAAAAAGATGTTTTTCTTTATGTAACTGTTTTTGTTTTCATTTTTGTATTTAATATCAAAATGTATTTGAAGCATATAATATTTTAAAGTTAAGTTGAAATATAAAATTTATCCGTACAGTCTAATTTTTTGAATTAAAGAATGTATTTAAAATAAATTTTGTTTAAATGGTAAATTAATTTAAAAGAAGATGAAAGATATCCTTTATGTAAGAAAGTTTCCTTCTTGCTTGGCGTAATGTATTTTCAACCTATCGGTGTGTGTTCATGTGTATGTATGTATGTGTGTGTATGTGTGTATGTGTGTATGTACATGGTGTGTGTGTGTGTGTATGTGTCTGTGTGGTATTAATTATCCATTATTGATGGTGTCCGATTGACAACTTTTCACCCATTCTTTTTCAAAACTTCTCATTGTTGTTGTTGTTGTTATTGTCGTCGTTATCGTCATCATCATTGGTGGAAAATTTATTTTATCATTTTCCCTCTTGTACAATTATAGTATATTAATCAGTTAATCATTTAGTTAGTTTAGTTAGTTTTGGTTTGTTTACTAGTCATTTTCATTCCTATTTTTTTGTTATCAATTCTTCCTTGCAAATATTTTTTTTCAGGCTAAAATGATGCAAAATAATGTAAAATTGATTATATATCTAATTGTTAATGGCTTTATGCAAATTAATTCACAAGATTTGTCACAAAGAGCGGAAAGAACATTTGCAAATACACAATTTGATTTGGATCCTAATTTACCGTTTGATGATTATGCTAGGATTACAACCAAATCACCCGATATTTCTCATCAAAAATCTCAGTTATCAGTAAAGGTTTGCATTTTCATCTCATCCTTCATTCGTTTTTCCTAATCTTTTTCCGGGTTTTTTTCTGGAAAAGGTTGAAATTTGTTTGCTTTTTTTATAAAGAATAAAAATAAATTTTAAATCTAAGCATTTGTTAGATATCAATAATTTTAGACCAAAATATTTTGTTATCTTAAAAATTAAAAAAGTATATTATTAAAAAAGTATATTGTTTCAGGTAAAACATTTCACTTTTTTTAAAAATTCTTCATTTATGGTAAAGATAATGAAAATTTGGCATATTATTCTTTCTCTCTTCTTTTTTTTTTTTTTTTAAATCATTTATCTATTGTAAAGATAATAAGTAAATTTGTTTGCTCAAAAATCTCATAAATCACCGCTCTAATCAAGTAACAAAAAATTTTAGTTAATATATGTAATAGGTTTTAATTAATGTATGTAAAAAATTTCCTCAAAAATCACTGTTTCAATCAAGTAAAAATAAATTTTAATTAATATGTGTGATATTTTGCCTTCAATTATTTTACTAAGCAATAGTTTTGCTGAATGAAAATGCTTCAAAGCTTCTTTTTTTTTTGATGAGCAAAATTCCTTTTCTTCATTGATTAATATTAATTAATGGTTAAATTTGAAATATCAACATTAAATTATAAACTGTAATTATTTGAGCAACAATTCAAAAAAAAAAAAATAATGTGACATTTTTTTTGAAAATAATTAATTGCTACAGATACAGCCAGCTACAATGGCATCTTTTCCACAAACAACATCAATTGCGCCTCAATCCATACATGTGAAACCTAAATCTTCTAATTCTAAACTTCAATATCAAAACGTCAGAATTTCAATGAAACAAGCTCCTCGTGCAAAATCCTATCATACAATTCCCATTAATTCATTACAATCTTATCAAACTGGATTAAAAAATCCTGAAACTGGTTTACAACAATTTCAATCAACTATAAGAAATCAAAAATCATCCAAATCAATTATTCAACATAATGATGCTAATCAGTTGCATGAAACACCTCTTCAACATACACTTAAAATACTTCCCATTCAGCAAGGTAATCCGACACCTCAAGTTTCAATTGCAAATCCATTGCCGCAAAATTCCCCACGATTATCATCATCATCATCATCATCATCATCATCATCATCATCATCATCATTATCAACTGCGACGACATCATCATCCATTCCCGGTGCACATTCATCTATTGCCTTAGGCAATACCGAATCCAGATCAGCAGTTCCGATTCGGCAAATTTCATCCAATTCACCATGGTTTAACGATGCGCTTCCTTCATTTGGTACGGTAATTTTTGTCTTTTTAAATTTATCTCTTTTTAAAATTTCATTAATCAAATTTAGAAATCAAAAAATGAAACGGTAGTATTTTTTTTTAAAAAAAAAAGTTGAAAGTTTAAAAATATTTCTAAGTATTTAAAAAATATAAGAAATTCATTATTTAGCAATTTTAATATTTGCTAATTTTATCAGAAAATGTTTCTTGACTTTTTAAATTAAGATTTATATTGCGATCACTATCATTGCTATGAATGAAAAACAAGAATTTTTTTGCTATAAATAAGAGTTTCAAAATTTAAATAAAATGAAGTGTAATATTAAGATGGTAAAATTAAACATTTATTGTAATTAAACATAAAATTAAACATTTGTTTTTTTTTTTTGGTTTTATTTTTTGATTCCATATTGTATTTTGGAAATTTTAATTTTTTAAGTATTCATAATTTTATTCCAATTATGTTATCAAATCGTATACTACTAAACGTATTAACATCAATATCAAACATATTTTTTATTTCTTAATAATAACCGTCTATGAAAATTAATAGTAATGAAAGATGCAAGTAGGATAACAAATTTGTGTTCAATCTATCAGTACATAAAATTATGATTGATGATCGATAAAAAATATTTCATTGTATAATCATTTCAATAGTCATCAGCAACAAACAAAAAATGGAGTAGTTTCTTATATCTGTAAAAATTATCAAATCAAAATTTTCAACAATTAATTCTTTTCCACATTTCACTTAAATATGATAGCATCAATGATAAGGAAATAATGAAAGCAAAAAAAAAAATTGAATTAAAAGAAAAAAAAAGAACGAAATGGAGCAAGTTTTATCTGATCGTTTTTTTTTTGATCAAAGTAAATGAAAGGAAGATAGAAAAAGAAGGAAGGCTGTAATTTTTTTCTATGCGAAATAAGGATTTCAAAGCTTTGAAAAATTGAAAAGGAAACATT